AATCCTAAACCCTAAACCCCAAAGCTAAACCCTGAGACCGGTCCTTGGCTCGCTCTTGGGGTATGTCTTTCGGGGCCGCCGCTCCTGGTCACGGAGACGGTTTGGGTTTAGGGGTTTCGGGGTTTAGGGTTTCAGGGTTTAGGGTTTGGGGGGTTTGAGGTTTAAGGCTTTATAGGGTTTAGGGGCTTAGGGGTTTAGGGTTTAGGTTATACCCCTCTCTCCTCTCTTTTTCAACCCTGGCGCTCGCAAGGCTTGCGTGTTGAGGGCCGTACTATAGATGTCAGGGTTCCTTGGGGACCACATGACCGTTATAAGTTGTGGGCCTTATACCCTCATGCTATGAACCCTTATATGGTATATGAACCTTAACCCCTTTTGGGGTTCATGTCGTCCTTAAGGTCCTAAACCCTAAACAACCCTGAACCGTGGGTCAGGCTTCAAGGCTCTTGGTTACCTTGCTAAAATTAAAACTTTTAGTACCCCTATGTAATATCAAAAAATGCTAATCCTAAAAGTGAAAAAACTATAAAATGACTGTAAAGTTCAACCAAGCAGGGGATAAAAAGCAAGCCTCGGTGTGGGGTGTTTGGGGTTCAGGTTTCGGGCTCATAGGCTCTGGGCCGTGGCGCTTTAGGCCTCAGTTCTGGCGTAATGTAGGGGCCTTTATAATTAAAATAAGGTTTTGGGCTCCTTTATATTATATAACTATAATCGGGAACCCTATAGGGAATGTAATTATTGAGGCCTCCGTTCTGAAGGAAGCGATTCTGCATGCTTTCGCATTGTGTGGGCTTGGAAGCAAGGCATGAGGGTTTAATATGGGGGGCCTAAATAAATACCAATACTATTGTGGGGGGGGGGTCCTTCTATAGTATGACATAACCTAAACCCTAAACCCTAAACCCTAAACTCTAAACCCTTAACCCTAAACCGATATACCCCAAGACCCTATTCTAATTTTAAAGGTCCCTACATTAGGCTTTCGGGCTGTGGTTTAAGGGAGAGCCGAGGATGGTAGGATGGGTGGCAATTGGCGTCAGAATAGAACGTGACAACTCAGAGAGAAATGGTTGCTATCCCTAAGGGTCCATGTACCCAAATAGGAAATACTTTGGCCTTAATGTAGTCGCTATATAAGTACTTTGGGCCAATGTATATACTATTGGGCACATGGACCCTTAGGGTATGGGATATATATTTATATGGGTAATTCTCTAAATTAAGGTCCCCTTTAGGGTCCTATTATGAGGGTGCCGTGCCGTACTGTATTGGGGATCTCAAAGGGACCCAAATTTAGAGCATTGCGGTAGGGCGCAAGCTGTACCGGGTTATTGGAGGCGAAACTTTTGACTTGCTCAAGGGTTGGGATCAGCGACTGCGAAACTTCGAATCATATATCGGATGAGCAGAGCCCTGCATTGCCCGCCTTAATTAAATGTTCATGGCTTAGGGCTCTCGGTCCATCAGCCGAATTAGGACGAAGGTCTCACGAAACCTAACTTAACATGATTTCGCAAGGATCATGGGACTTGGTATGGATGGTATAAGGTGTGGAAAGAGGTGGATTTACTGTCATGTCCAGTTGAAGTACTTAGACCCATACATGAATTACCCATGAACCGTCAGACCCTTCATGGAAAGGCAATCTGAGAGTCTAACCCATACACGACTCTGGGGGGTGAACCGTAGTCATCAGCATCTCCGTTTTCGCAGTGGTAACCATGATGATGAGGATTACAAGTATCTGACTGTTGCAGTTGTCATTCTTCTGTTTTAATAGTAGGGGCTGCAGCAGCACCCTAAACCCTAAACCCTCAAACCCTGAACTAGAGTCCAAGGTCAATGTGGACCCTCAGGCCTTTCTAGGGTCCCTTCAGGGTACATATAGGGTATGTAGTAGGTATATAAGGGTCCCAGGGTAAAGGGCCCATACCAGGGGCCCATACTTCTAACCTTGGATAGAGCGGCGAGGAGAAGGCTACTTAGAGGACCATGGGACCTAGCAACTAGGGTTATAATTAGGATAAGTATACTGATAACCCCAATTAAGGGACTTATAACCTTACTTACTAAGTCCCATGATCCTCCAAGTACAGGCTATGATCAAGACTCGCTATGTCACGGAGCATCTGGGGCCTCCTTTCGAGTTCCGCCGCTCCTCATACTCTTCGTGGTGTGACAAAGGTAGCTCAAGGTTTAGGGTTTAGGGTTTAGGGTGTAGCTCAAGGTTTAGGGTTTAGGGTGTAGGGAGCTCATTACAGTAGATTACTCAATACAACAGGGTACCGCAACTTGCTGCTTGAAGCCAGGCCCAAACCCTCCAACTTCATCCATCTCACCTTGCGCTCTGTGCAAGGCAATTTTTTTGCGCAAGATCCACAACCAGATGTGCAAAGCAGCATCTGCGGCCGCAAGGCTTGAAAACACTCATATGTATCTGCGGGGCTCGGCACTGAAACCCTTCGTTGTGCTAATCTGGGTGAGAAGATGATGCTGGGCTGTGCTCTCTGGATCACGGCTTCAGGTGTACTTACGGCATTGAAAAAGTGACGCTGGGCTGCGGTAGTATAGGCGCCTGAATAAACATAATCGGGTTTGGGGGTATAGTATGCTAAAATTATGATAAGGAGCCCCAAAACATCCAAAACCCTGTTCTAATTATTAAGACCGCTACCTTACTCTCTGTCCTGCTGTGTCTACAACAACGACTGCTGCTACTGCTGCCACTACTGCTGCTGCTGCTGCTGCTACCGCTGCTGCTCAAGCTACTACTGCGACAGTGACTGCTACTGCTCAAGCTGCTACCATCGACGACGGCCACGACGACGACTACGACAAACACCACTACTATACGACTACTACGACTATATACTACGACTGCCAGGACCACGACTACGGCTACTGCGACTACTAGAATTAGTACGACTACTGCGACGACTACGACTTCCGCGACTACGACTACTACGACTTCTGCGACTACTAGGACAGACTAGGACTGTTGGGACTACGAACACTACTACGACTACGACTTCGGCGGAGACTACTCATGCGACGACGACTGCTACTGACTGGACTAACCAGAATAGCAACATATAACAACAACGACTGTCAGCACCGGCAGGAGCAGCATCGGAAGCAGTGGCACTGCGTTCGCTTAAGATGTCTTACGTGTTTTACTAAACAAACAAACAAACAAACAAACAAACAAACAAACAAACAAACAAACAAACAACCGGGACTGCTATATACCACCACCGCTGGTAGCATCACATGACCTCCAAAAGCATGTGCGATCCCTCCGTGGATAACAAACACGGTTTAGGGTTTAGGGTATTTAGGGTTCAGGGTTTAGAATTTAGGGGTTTAGGGTTTAGGGTTTAGGGCATTCAATCTGATTGGGTTGCGTTGCAGGAGAGTACATACGGCATATCATGTAAGAGGCCCAGCCCATCAACGACATTCGTGATCCTGCCACAAGGTATACCCATAGGCCCCATAGTAGTTCTTTTTTGGGATTGCTTCATAGGATCCTAAGTATAAGCCACAAAAAAGGAACTACCATGGGGCCTATGGGTAGGTGCATTGTGGTTTCTCCCCTACATCATATTACAGTAGAGGCCCAAAAGTTGGACACCCAATAGCCTCTAAAGAGTAATGTATAGGGAATCCCAGCACTATTTGACCTTAATCCGGTTTCCAACTTTTTGGGGTTTGCTGTACTACCGGAGGACCGCGTCACCTCTCATGCCTCAGAAGTTACAGTTTGGCAACGCGTTGTCGCCTGTGCACCCGCCGTTGTTCGAGATGAGGCCGATGCCGTTGTTCATGCTTTGGCTGATCTCATAATCTTCGCAGCAGTTGAGGTCCATGATGCAATTGACCATGTCCTTCAATGCTGCACAAGGTCGCGTCACCGCCCCGTCCCAGATGTCATTTCGATTGTCTGCGGCGAACTGCTCCCAGGTAGAGATGCATTCCGCAGCCTTCGTTGTGTCGCAGCCACAGCCTTGTAAGCTTGCAGCTAGCAGGGCGAGGAACCCTGCCAGCACCTGCAGCGTGTAGGACTGTTTCATGGCTCTGCTTCAAACCTCAGGACCTTGGGGACCAGATGACCCGTATCCGTAGAGGCCCTATACCCTTATACTATGAATCCCTATATGCTATCAGAAGCTTAAACCCTTTTGGGGTTCATTTTCGTGCTCAAGGAGTCTCCTAACTGGCTTGAGCTTGACAAAGCTGGCAGTCAGTGCAGACGATGCATGTCATCCTCGCCTACTATCACAGACATACGCGCAGGCTGAACCCCCCCCCCCCCCCCCGAACTGTCAGAAGTTGAGCCTCTTTATCCTCATCCCCCAACCTAAACCTTGTAAACCCTAAACCGCCATGCCCCAAACCCGAAAACCTAAGCCCCAAAAAGGCCAGGTGTAGGGAACCATGTCGCTGATGGGATTTGTCGCACCCCTTAACCCCAAAGCACGAGGGTTTGATAAGGGTTTTACAAGGATTCTGTTGGGGTTCTATAAAGGTTCTATAGAGACTTTATTGGGTTTCCTTACCCGACGTGTCCAAAGGACGCAATAACAAGGACAGGTCATGTAGGTTACTATTTGGGAGAGAGGGTTTAGGGTTTAGGGTTTAGGGTTTATAGGGTATATGGTTATTAAGTACTCGGACTCTGAAAACCCTTAACCGAAACGGGCACGCCAAGCATTACGCAAGGGTTCCCAAAACGACGCAGAAGACCTTTCTGAGCCTCAGATGGGATTTTTTGTACCAAGACCCTCCAATGTCCCTTAATAAAGTTTTGCCCTAAATCATAACAAGATCCCCAATTGAATATGACTTGAGGTATATTTCTCAAGATTCTTTAAGTAAGGGATTTGGCAATCTCTGGGTACTTAGAGGAAGACCGGGCTTGGTAGTAAGCGGGTCCCTCACAGGGCTCCTTAACGGGTTCTGTAAGGGATCATCAAAGGTTTAGGGTTTAGGGTTTAGGGCCTAAGGTTTAGGGCTAGAAGGATCATGGGACTCACAACTATGGCTAAAAACAATTTAGCTATGCTTGAAACATAAACACTGCATTTCGGGTACGTGCGACCATCATATTAGAACTTGGCTTCATATCAGTCTCATGATCCTCCAAGTCGGGCTTACTTGGGCTGCAGAGCCATGCTGCACCAGCAAAGGCGACCTAGATGCTGAATCTGGTAATATTAGTACCAGGCTCGCCCGCAAAAAGCCCCGAAAAACGTTCGCAACTCAGCTCCTCTTAAGCCCAATAATAAGGGAGATGTAAGATGTCCCAAAGGCATAACTGGACTGGCTGTTTCTGCATCACTAGAGGGGAACAATCGAATTATTAAGTCGGACAATAAACTTAAAACCTGTAATGCTGAAACCTAGAGATATGGGGGCCAAGATAGTACCCTAAACAATAGGATCCTTATTATAAGGACCACAAAATAAGGTACCCCTAATTTTCGGAAACTCCCATATACGCCCTAAAGCTAAACCCAGAGGCCAAAGCCCTAAGCGCTACGCCCTGCTCAGGCACCAAAACACACTTCAAAACAGAAAACAGTGTAAACACGAAGTACCCCTAAACCCCAATACCTAAACCTTAGAAACCCTAAACCCTAAAGCCTGAAACCTGCAAACTAAACCTTAAACCCTCAAAACCTAAACCCTAAACCATTCTGCCAATAAGAGCCCACAAACAAGGAGACTCCTTGTCTCCTGCACCCAAAACCCAAACCCCTAAGCCCAAAACCCTAAACCCATTTAGGGTTTAGGGCTTAGGGTTTTAGGGTTTAGGCCCAAAACCCCTAAACCCCAAACCCCTGAACCCCTATACCCCTAAACCCAAAAAACCGTAAACCACCCAAAAAACAAAACCCTAAACCCTAAACCTTAAACCCTAAACCCTAAACCCTAAACCCTAAACCCTTAACCCTTAACCCTAAACCCTAAACTTTAAACCCTAAACTTTAAACCCTAAACCCTAAACCCTAAACTTTAAACCCGAAACCCAAAACCCAAAACCGACTTCCCGACTTCGGGTTGAGGGCGGTTTAGGTCTTCAGGGTCCTATCATGTAA